AAAATTAAGTCTACATTTAATTTGGATAAAAGACTTACTTTCTCTGGGTCTTTTTTCCCCGTAGGACAGAAGTTCCAATCTGGCCTATTCCTGCCTGTTCTTCATTTCTTACGGATTCCAGATCGTGATCCTGATCCTTTCAGCATTTTCAGAAAAAAGTGACTTATCAAGTGTAAGATTCTAGATATGCCCACTTTATCTATTACCTACTTGGATGATATCTTGAAAATTAATCTTTGAGATATCCATGTTTTATGGAGAGCCCATGAACCCAGAATCAGTTACATGCTGATAATCCCTAATCTGAATGTCTGAAATCTGCAATGCTCTGAGCCCAAAATTTTCAAAAAGTTTGAGGAGTATTGCAAAAATATGAAACACTTTCAGTCTTAAGCATTTTCGACAAGGAATACTCAACCTGCATTCCAGAATATTTTATGCTTAAGGATACGAGGGTGAACATATTGAAATACTGATTTCATGTTCATTCATCAGTTTTTCGCATAGGCAATTAATTCATACATCTATGCCAGAAAATCTGATTATCCTTATGTTAGTGACCTTAGAGTGTCCAAATAAACATATGCTGACCAATATATGTTGACTTTAGCACCATACCTAGCTTCTCCATCCTGTCTAGCACATCATCATCTCCAGACTATTTCTGATTTTAGAGTCCAACATGGTTTCTCTTTCTAATTTCTTTTCAATTTTTTTGTATCTTTCAGAATCCATCATCCGCAGCTTCATTTTTGAGTAACATTACCTTTAGTTGGTTTGACAGGTAGGAAATGCCTGAAGTACAGGTTTTCTATCTTCCTTCTCTCTCATTTTGCTGAAAATGAAAGAAAACTTGATTTTTAAAAAATGTCTCTTGGGGCCCGGGGAGATGGCTCAGTGAAATAAGCGCTTCCCTAGCAAGCACAAGGGTCTGAGTTCAATCCCCAGTTCCGCCCTCCCACCCCCCAAAAATGTATCTTGTGGCCCCCTTTTCTCTTCAAGAGTAGGAGAATGTTAATACTTACAGGATAGCTTGACTCACCCCCTTCACTGGGCAGATTAGTCTAGAGGGTGAGAGGGACTTGGCTTTTGACAGCCTGGGAGTTCCACAAGAGGGACAGAAAGGCAGGAGCACAGGAAGAGAGAAATTTGAAGTGGGCAGTGCGACCCAGATGGGAGGTAAGGGAGAATGGCTGGGCTGGGATAACGGAAGGTCTGGGGCCGAGAGCCTTGTCCTTTGAAGTTCCTTGCCTTTGGGAAGCCTGGTGACACCCAAGAATCCCTTCTTAGGTACTGTTTTAGGAGCACAAAATAAAAGACACAAGATTACAAAGGAAATACTATATGCAGGCGTTCCTTGCTTAACAGCCTACCCGATTAACGACTGTTCTGACCTACAACAGGCTCACTGCTTGGGCTTACGACCCACCCTCTGTCTGCACAGTTCTGCGCATCTCATTTGATAGAGCCTGATATCCTTTTTGGGTACAGTATCCCTTGTTTGTACAGTACCGTATTTTTTTGCTGATTGTATGGTACAGTACAAAATTGTAGTTTTATGTTCTGTCATATATTACGTACTACTTGTAAGAGTTATGCAAATTGTGCTGGGGAGTTGGCTCAGCGGAATAAGCGCTTCCCTGGCAAGCCCAAGGGCCTGAGTTCAATCCCCAGTTCCATCAAAAAAAAAAAAAAAAAAAAGAGTTATGCAAATAAAAGTCAACAAGTTGGAGTTACCTTTGACTATTTCTTCTGGATATTGTAATATGCATACTATGTGCTATTCCTCATTTAGCAACCAATTCATTGATTGACTCATTTGCCAGAACAGAACTTGGTTGTTAAACAAAGAACGTCTGTACTGAAAAGTAGTTACAAAAATGTTCAACACCAGGAGTGGTGGTGGACACCTGCAATCTCAGCACTTGAGGCTGAGGGAGGAGGACCACTGTGAGTTCAAGGCCAGCCTGAGCTAGTAGCAAGACCCTGTCTCAAAAAACAAAAAAGAAAAGAAAAAAGAAAGAAAGAAAAAGAAAAAGCAAGTGTGTGATGTAATAATGTCTATTTTAAATCAAAGCACTAAATAATAAGGCCTAGTGATCACTCTAAAAATGACCATAATCTTAGAGTAGCGACGGGCATCAGTTAGCTGTGAAGCCATCTGTGATTTCTGTTGACAAAGGTACCGTATTACACTCATGTTAAGAGACAAATACTTATTTTCTATCCATTCTCTCAAACCCCAGGTGGGGAACCCTGCTCTGGAGGGCTGGTACAAGGGCAGCGTGGCATCGGCTCTGCCTCATAAGGGCATTACGAAGGCCTCTCAAGGCGGAGCAGCAGGTGTGCTGGAAGAGGAGGTGTCAGGAGCAGGCGGCAGTGACTCTGCTTTGCTTGCTCGCCACCGTCTTTTACCACATTTGCTATTTCCACATCCTTGCTATTTCCCTTTCCAGGCTCCCTATTTCTCCACCAAGTTCAAAGGGCCAGGATGTGGGCATCAGGAACCAATGGAGCTCTCCCATCTTTCTGTGTCCCTCCCCCCCACAATCAGAGGCACATTTTGGTAGAGGCAGCAAAGATCTAAGGCAGCTGAGGTGTTTCAGCCTGGGGTCACTCTTGTTTCAGCATTGTTCTGAAAGGCTACAAGCAACCACTGACACTTGAAGATGTCTGGGATGTGGACGAAAAGCTTAAAACCAAGCCAACACTGAGCAGGTTTGAAGTATGCATGGCAAAAGAGCTACAGAAAGCACGGCAGGCATTCCAGAGGCGGCAGCAGAAGGCCCAGCGGAAGTCTGGAGCCAAGCCACGCGGCTTGGACAAGAACCAGAGCCAGAGCCAAGATGTCCTTGTCCTGGTAAATTTCCCATAAGTGTCTGTGTATTCACTGATTTCTAGTACAGTGTCTGTGTGCTGTATGTCTCAGGCAAAAAGAGCAGTGTTATAATTTTATTGTTTTTTTTTAATACTTCATACTTTTCAGTGTGCTTTCTAGTATCAGTATCATTTATAATATTAGTGTAGCTTAGTGATGGATACGTGGAGGGCATAATGTAGTGTTTCTCTCCTTTTGGGCATATTTAAAATTTTCTGTAACAAAATATTTAAAATAGTAGTTCACCATTGCTAGAGTTTATAGTTTGATGAGAGTTAACACTCACCACTAATTTATTTTTTGATTCACATGAGATGTTTATGAGCAGAGTTGTGTGTCTGAGTCTGTTCTAGACACTGAATAAAAGGAACAACCCTGACTGTCCATCTTTAGAGAGCTAGAAAGTAAGCAATAAGCCAACACATACATTAAGGCTAATACATACAATTAAAAAAGTAAAACTGCTGACAAGCACAAGGTCTTGAGTTCAATCCCTGGTAGCACCAAAAAAAAAAAAAAAAAAGAGTAAAACTATGAGTGTGGTGGTACGTATCAGTAATCCCAGCACTCTGAGAAGGTGGCGGGCATCGGCAAGAGGATTGAAAGTTCAAGCCCAGTGTACGCAACTTAGAGACTTAGCATGACCATGTCTCAAAACGAAAGAAAGGAAGGAAGGAAGGAAGGAAGGAAGGAAGGAAGGAAAAAAGGAAGGAAGGAATGAAAGAAGGAAGGAAGGAAGGGCCGGGGAGATAGCTCAGTAGAATAAGCACTTACCATTCCCTAGTACAATCCCTGTACAGCAAAAAAAAAAAAAAAAAAAAAAAAAAAAAAAA